TACTCTAAGATGTGTAATCTGCATAGACAAGGTGATACATGGAAGAGAAATAACACCACCAAGCAAATCTTTTCAAGCAAAACAACAATCCATCTAAACATGTTTCATCCTATCAAGGAATGCCATGTCAGAAACAACCAACATAGCACTAAGATTACCTCAACAGTGAACAGATTATATGAGTTTCTTACATCTGAATGTGGCAATAATGCACAAACATTATCACATTGTTGGTTAATGACATAGCTCTATGAGTTTCAAGTACCATAGAGCTGTTTATTGTGCCAAGAAACAAGTCTCCAAGAAATATTTGATAGCCATCCTAGGGTATCATGTATCTGGATCAATGTTGTTAGATTTACTTCGGAGTCTTTTTCGGTTTGGTGAGAAAAATGAAGCAATTTGGTTCTTTGGCCAATTCGGGGGAAGACTTCAGACTTTTTTTTAATTTAATATAAATAAATTAGATATTTAAATATAAAATATATAAAATAATAGAAAAAATTTAAAATTTAAAATCAAAAAAATACTTTTATATAGATATTCCTTTTATGATCGAAGCAGCCCGAAGCTTCGGCCAAAGCAGACCGAAGCGGCCGAATCTGACCGAAGCGGCAGCACCACGCTTCTCTTCACTTCAGTTTATGTTTAAAATCCAAAGGCTTTAGCCTCTTCAGCCGAAGCGAAGCGAATTTAATAACATTGATCTGGACCACATCCCATACTGAATTCAAGCTGAAGATTTGAACATGATGATAAAATCCAATTCTCCTCCAAAAGTCAACTAAGCATAGCTTATAATTGATGCACCAGTAGTCTATCAGATCCTGCTGGTCTAAACAAAATGTGTTGGTATCTAAACTAAATGAGATAATCAAGTCATAGATCCATGTGAGGATCATTGCCATTGGTAGAAATTTTTAATACTATGCTAAAATGGTTTATGTGATAATGAATCTAAAGAGATCTATGTGGTCGATGTTCCATGTATATTGGGGGTTGTGGCCTTTGAAGGATGTGAGAGCTTGTATATATCATTTATAGTGGAGTTATGTACTTCAGTGAGATTGTGCATTAATTGACCATGGGTTAGGCGATCTGTGGCCCTAGTAATGTCTAAAACCCTTGTCCTAGGCATATGGCACTATCAAATAAAGGGTTATCCCTTGTTGAGGTTGGAGAGATGTCCATGGATAGATTGCAGATCAAGAAAATTGTGTGGTCTCCTGTGTGCGGACGTAGGCCTGTGAGAGAAAGGACTAAATCCTCAACAAACTTCCACACGACCTGTACACATGACAGCATCATTTATGGAAAGCAACACTGGAAAGAGATAGTGTACATATGCATAAAAAGAATCCCCCTTGCACTATAGTGATGTGTGCTTGACTTGCTCTTAAGAAGGGAATTGTAATCCACATTCCGAGATAGTAGTTCCACTATTTATTGGCCAGCTTAACGACTTAACGAGCCAATCATGAGTCCCTACATGAGTCTCATTGGATCATTTTGATAAGACAGTTGTGGATCACGGTTATCAAGTCGGGTGAGGTTCCACTTCTAGAAATTTTATTTTCAGTGTTAGAAATGTTTCTGTGAATTTTCGAAATTTTTAATAATTTTTAAAAATTAATTGCAGTAGTCAAATATTGAAAAAAGTTGTTCTGTAATTTTAGTAAGTATGGAGGGGCACATGTGGGGCACTTGGATCTAGCCCCACATGTGTGCTACACCACATGGGTGGGGCATGGAGCCCGTGGTGGGCCCACACCTCCCACATGGGGTGGCACGCTCCCCTCCCCTCCCCTCTGATCTCTATGTTATATTTTAATTAAAAAAAAAATTTAGTTTGGTTAAGGTAATCTTTTAAAATAAAGTTGTCCTTGTTTATGGCTTTTTTTAAAAAAAAAAAAATTAGATTTGATCAAAATATTTTATTTTGACTTCCTAAAATTTCAAAGATATAAAAAAGGGAAGTTTAAGAAGGCTTTTAGTTTGGTCTTATCCTAATTAGACTAGAAGTGGATATGAGTCAAAGAATAAAGAGATAATGTTCCTAATATTCCTCCCTAAATCATGATGGTTGATTGATGGGATAGATGGCTCAGATATAATTCTCTCACACATCACATAATTCCTAGTGGTCAAGATGAGTCATAATTGGCTAGGCATACTTGGGGGATTGAGGTATATATTGGAGGGGATCCCGTCCCCCTCCAATCTCTACACAATTCCCAAGCGTCTCTCTCTATCTTGATCTCTCTCTCTCTTGATTTCTCTCTCCCATGCCCCACCCTCTCTCATCTCACTTCTATCTCTCTCCCCTCTCTCTCTATCTCTAGGTGGCATGACATCCATGAGAAAAAGGAGTCGCACGCCTAACTCAAGTTATAGTTTGAAGCAGTGTTTAAAAAGGCGGCGAGTCGAACAGGAGTCGCCCGGTTCGACTCGAGAACCAGCACAACCCGTGCCGGTTCCGATACAAAACCGGGAATCGCTCGGTTCTAGAGAAGAACCGTCGATTCCAATCCCGTTTTGTCCGGTTCTACCCGGTTTAGATTGGTTCCCGTTTCCCTCGATACGTACGTGCATGCGTGCTACACGTGTGAAGTTACCCTAATATTTTTACACAAACATTTTAATCTATATTACATAGGTTTTATATACCAAAGTGGAATACCCATCTTTCGATGTGGGATAATTCTCAAACATCATTAAATGAAAAGGGAATTTAAATATATTTTATTAATCATCAAGTTATAACCACATATGGTGAAGTGGCGTGGTGGTTAAGACCTTTGCTTCTTTATGTGACGTCTCAAGGTCGAGTCTCCCCGTGGGCGTTACTTTTTTATGTTGTATAGTTTTTGTTGTATATATTGTATAAATATTTTTGTAAATAATATAAAAAGCATAAAAAAATGAAAAATAAAAAAGTTAACTTTTTGTATAGCAGTTAATTTTTGTTGTATATAGTGGTATAATTATTTTTTTAAATAATATGAAAGGCATAAAAAAATAAAACATAAAAAGTTTATTCTATTTGAAATCTTCACCTTTCTACTAACAATCTCTTTCACTAAATTTATTATAGAAACCTAAAAAAATAAATTTTTGAAAAATTGAAGAGTTATTTCCAAAACGCATTTTATTAATTTTTACATTAATAACCAAATCTTTTATTTTATTTATTAATTTTTACATTATAAATCATGTAATGTACTATTTTTCTTACAGTTGTCAATAATACATTTTAAATTAGATAATATTATAAAATATTTTTAATTTGTTATTATTTGTCTAATAAAATAATTATAAAATGTAAACTAATAATTATAATTTCAGTATATAATATTATAATTAGTTAGGTTTTAATAATTTTGGATTATAGTTAGTTAGGCTGTAATAATTTGGATTTTTTTAGCGGATTAGGGTTTTTCGCCAAAACGAGATTTTAATGCCCATTCTTTCATTGATTAGTCTACTCTTTATAATAGTCCATGTATAATTATATATTTTATCTATGATAATTCTATGTATTTTTTCTTTTATGTGATGACAAATTTAATGGTTAACATAAGTTTATACAGGGAAAGNGCATCTCAATATTC